TTTGCGGGAACAACCGCTACGAGCGCTCGTGATCATCGAGAGTTGACTAGGCGTAAACTAACGGGGGTTGTTCGTGCAAATTGAGCACGTTTAACCTGCTCAGAACGCAATATCTACCCACTACAGAAACGTTCTTTCTTCCATTTATTACTGCTATTTTGGTTTTGAATAAATCTCGAGCAGTTCTCGTATTTTTACGATCATAAGTTTCGAGGCTGTTTCCTCTTGAAATTCTTGAAGAGAGGTTTTTTTTTTTTTTAACGACGGTTTCGGGATGAAAGTTTCTTTCGAGAAAGAGTGATTTTGATAAATAGCCATCGAGTTGGACAAAAATTCGCGCCGTTGTGTTGACAAAGTAATTATGTTGGAAGTTGGAAATGTATTCGGTGAAAGATATTTTAAATATTGCAAATGTAATGGAAATCCTTTATGTTTGAAACTTGGCTAGCTGAGAATTGACCTTTCTCAAGAGGGATGTTTAAGATAGCTTCTCAATTCGAGAGATTAAAGCTCGAGCTTTATGAATTATGGATATCGAATGAATGTTTTATTTGCCATCGTCTTGCTCGACCTAGTCACGTTTGTATAAGAAATATAATATTTTAATCATTGAAGATTAATTGTGAAATATAGATAAGCAGGTATAAAAAGGATTAAACACCGTAGAAAATAAATTTAATAAATAAAAATATCAATCGAAAGATTTGTAATCCACAATCAATCGCATCAAGTATTCAAAAAAATATCCAAAAATCTGAATTACACTTCTTTTTCAAATCTAGTTTAACAACAACATCTGTATCGAAGATTCTCCTTTCGTCTTCCCGTAGATAGCCCAGATTTCCTCTTTCCTTGGTGAAACTGTACAAAGTAACTTCGAACATTCCGCGGCCAACCGATGCCTGATGAGTTTCCAATTTATCTCGTGATCCATTCGACAGGTTTTTGGCGACACGGATCACCGTGAACTGAAACTCCATTAAGAGACGTGCCCGGTCGTCTGTCCCAGAATCTAATGTATTTTAATGGAATTCTTGGTCCGGTCGTTTCTCTTACGCCACGCTTGCCCCCCTCCGTTTGCTGAGGGGATGAGCATTAGCGGAAAAGTTAGCCAAAGTACCGCGACCCGGGGTGCAGCTGTGGCCGGTTCGCACGCGGTTTTTCCTTCGAACCAGCGGGTTAACGCTTTTACTTAGCTTAACGTTCGTTAAGGGAACAGCTGCCGCTCGCCACCGCTGGAAAACGTCGTCGATGTTTTCTTTTTCGCGTACCCGCTTCTCTCATTTGGGAGGATCTTCCTCTTTCTTCCCTTCCATAAATATAACTCCGTTGCTGCGATCCTTCGTTTTAATCCGCCACGAATAAGAGCGTGATGGAAATGTTACGGACATTTGCCGAGATTGTGCAAAATGTGGTAAAAAAACTGTTAATGATAATCATTGTCCTTTTAGCGTCTGTTGAATTTTGAAAAATTTAAAGCTTGAAAACTTGAAAGCTTTTTAAAGGGAAGGATTTAAGGAGACGTAAGGTGTGATAATGTTTTGATTTTAGTTTTTAAATAACGATAAAAGATAACGACAATCCTCGTAAAATGGAGATTTAGTGAAAGAAGTGTAGTACGGATTCATTCCTTTTTTTTTTTTTTTTTTAGAAAGCTTTTTAATTTTGCTCATAGAGGTATACACGTAGAGGAAAAAGAATTTTAATATTAAAACAGTCGAATCTTTCTGAAACGGTTGAATATTAATTATTTCAACACGTATTTTTCCCTTTAAATCTGATAAAATATTAATACCGATCGTCTCTTCCGCAATCCGTCTCTATCAATTAATAAATTCAATGAATTAACAAGTTAAAATTTTTACGTTATAAATTAACCAATGTACAAGTATCAAGAATTAAGTTAAGATCATATCACTGTATAATTTTTTAACTCTCTGCTAAAATCGATAAGTAACACTTATAATTTATAAATCAATTTGGAAAAACGATTCTCAAATAAAAATAAATTGCGAACGAAATTTAAAACAATTCCTCGATGGAATAAGCCCTCCGCTTAAATCCATGTCGGTTCGTTCGTAGCAGTTGAAAACCTTTTCGAGATTAACCCTATACGTTACACCGTCGAGCCGACGGTTGTCCGGATTTCCACGTCCGGCCTGTCTCTCGGGCTTGCATTATTTAACCGACTCCCTCTCTAATTAACGAATTCGCGGTTGTTTAATTTCACCGACGCGTCATAAACGCGCGCCATGTTTAGCGCGTGCACGCGCCACTAACCGCCGAGCATTCCGATAAATTTTGGCCACGATTAACTTCCACGTTATCAACTATTGTTCCACGCAAATTGATTTTGATATTTAGCCTGGATATCGTCTTTGGGAGTATCGTAACGCGTATCGAGTCATCGAACCGAGGCGATGGAGAAGATATTTTGTCAATTTCTTTTTTTTAAAATAAGTAATAGGAATTTTTATGAATTTTATTAGGAAATTATGATATTTATTCTATTGCATATATGAATGATGATTTTGGAAAGGATATTTTGCTAATTTTAAATATTTTAATAAAAAGGTAACATGATTTTGGAGATAGAATGTTATAAGTTTGATGTTTTGGAAAATTTTATTAATATCCACTCTGTTCGATTACTTTCGAAGTATATAACGTTTATTGAGGTACAATAAAAATAATGTTATTTTTATACTCGATATTGTAAGGATTAATTTAAAATTTATGGGAGAGGAAAAAAAATGAGATGAATTCATGTGAATTTTGGAGAGCACATTTAGCTGGTTTTGGAATTTAAAATCCTTGAAGGAAAAATGTAATTGCAGTTACTTCTTTCGCGCTTGCGACCTAACCCCGGATTTAACTCAGGCGTGAAGCCCTAATTGGGGTCTGAATTTAAACAGATTGGAAAGAAATTGGTGAGATAAATTTTGCAAGTTTGTATAGTATCTCTGAGAAAGGATTTTAAGCAAATTTGAAAAGCTAACATTTTCAAGTTATAATTTTTAAGTATATATTTTACATTGTATCTTTGAAAGAATTGATATCTTTTACTTTATAATATTACACACTGAATATTCTTTCTCTTTTTTTTATACATATTAAAAATTAATCAATTTAATAAACATTTCCTTTTTATAATAAATATTCCTATAATAATAACAACATAAATATTAAAAAATGAAAGAAGGATATAATACAATTTAAATAATTTATAAAGTACTGAAAATTTTGTAAAGCAATTATTAATGAAAACATTTATGTAATAAATAAATAGTAATACATAAGTAGATAATCATTAAGCAAGTAAGTTTGAGACAGATGGCTGTCATTAATTACCTGACGATGGTCCATGATATTGACCTGGAGGTTAATTACTCTTAAGGTTGATTAACTGCTCTTCTATTGACTAATGCTGAAAGCCTAATTGCGCCTCAAGTGTTTGACATTTAGATGATTATTGACAGGTGATAACTAATCTTGAAGTCGACTGATTACTAAATCTGGAAATTGATCGATTCACTCACAATGCAAGTTTTTGTAACTTTATTTTCTTAAATAAAATAAAGAGAAATAAAAATGATTTTCATTAATACGAAACGAATAAAACTTTAGTATCTACAATATTTACATGGAATATTCTTCAAACATTTAATTAATACTAATTAATTTCTATTTTGATTAAGAAACTTTCGAGTTTCTGAGTTATTTGTATTGAAGAGAAAAAAGAATATTCTGAATGTTCAAGTCTTTATAAGTTATGATCTAGTAAAATAATATCAATAGGAAAGGTATTTAATTTTTTCGATTAAAATAAAAAATAATTATGTTCTATTTATTTTCTAATAAATGTTTCAAATTATTTCATAAAAAAGTTTTGCAAATTTTTTGGAAATTGATAGTAGAATAGCAAATAATTGCAGGAAATGAAGAAAAATATTGATAATGAACAATTTATCATTTTCATCTAATATATTTAAATTTTTTAAATTTTTAAATACTTAGAAATAAATATAATGTTCTTGAATTATTTTAAAATCAGAAATTATGTACAATTTGTAAAACATATGTCTTATGAGAGAAAGGTCAATAATGATATTAATATCATTAACAGTAATGGAGAATTTCGTGGAATAAGTAACAATAGCTATTATTCATTTGTTACATTCGTATATCTAAAGATTATATTACTAAGCAAATATGATTAAATTTATATTAAAAAGACGAATTAATTCTCATTACAAACTCGAAAATAATATAGATACATTACACATAAAACTACATATATATAAAATTTTAAAATTAAATATTTATAATTTATAATTTACATACTAATAATTAAAAAAAATAACAGAAATAAAAATAAGAATTTAAATTCTAATTAAATTAGTATCTTAAATCAATTTAATACAACACAAAATATAAATATGTAATAATTATTTATTTTTTAATATAAATTTCTTTTTCTTTTCATTTGTATTCTTTTTAAAAAATGCGCCATTACAATCGAAACTGCTCGCGATAGATAACTCGAATATATCGATAATCAGCGCCATCATGGCGTCACGTCGATGAAAACTTCGCAAATTTAGTGCGCAATTCGAAACGGTGACCTGTAAACGAAATTGGTGTTTATAATAGTAGTAAAACGTAGTGAAACGAGGTATTAACGGTTATAAGCGATTCAAATTACATCAGTATATAGACAGGCACCTACTACAATCAGTGTGCATCATGTACAATTACATGTGACTCCGGCGTGTGCAACCACCGATTAATTTATCGTTCCATTATGAAATATTAACCTTCCAATCGGCTACTTTATTGGAGTTTATCGCGTCGACAGTACTTCGTAACTTTACACCTCGAGAGTAATAATAGTGCATTATAATTTGATGAAAGAGAGACACGAAGGATTGTAAACAGGACATTTCAAAGATATTCAAAGATATTCGAACAAGTATGCATGAATAAATGAATTGAATGCATGAGTGAGTGAATTGAAATATAATTCTTTTATTTCTATAATGGTTAATCTCATATTGGCTATCAGATTATGAGGTTATGTTCAAATTGTCATTACATTTAATCTATTGTACCTACCTATTGTTTTTATCTTGTAAGGTAGAAAAGGTATGAAAAGAATATTTTTGTTTTAAACAATAAATTTAAAAAGCTAGAAAACTGTTTCTTTTAATCGATAACATTGGAAAATTATCAATTATGTATAGCTTATAAATGTACATGATACTATTAACCTTCTATATTTATATATCTTTCTTGTTCATTTTTCTTTCATAAATAGATTGTATTGAAAGAAACATCAATATTTATGAATGGGCTAGTATAATAAAAGAGAATAATATGATAAATTTCTTTAATTATTATTTCTGCAGATGTTTAGAATCATAATAAAGTTTTGAAAGAGGTATCATAAATTTGACGAGTAAATTGAAAACTAAATTAACAATTATAATATTAAATAAAAGATACAAATAGTTTATTACTATTTTTTGAATAAGTATTTGTTCAAATATATATAATATATCTCAAAATGTTTTGTGAAATACTGGTATTATTCTAATTTCTTTTTTACTTATTATCAGAAATTTTACTTTTGATTTATGAAAAAATTAAATTACGTAATATCATGCTTAATATGAAAATGATTTAAAATAGATATAAATGCATTAAAATATTATTACAAAATAATATATCATAGATAGATTTTGCATCTTCAGGAAATTTATAATGTCTCTTTCAATTTCTTTCCTTCAGCAATTTTATAATGTCTCCTTTAATTCCTTTTCATCTATACTGTTTTCTTCTGTACTTTCTTCAATTTTAATTCCATTTAATATTTAAATTATATATTGATGCTCATTTTCTCTATACATTTTTTTATATTTCTACATCTTTATTATTATATTAATATTTCTATATACATCTATATTATTATATTAATAATTTAATATATAATTCTCTTTCTCTTTAATTCCTTTGGATATCAATTCATTAATTCTATTTATTCTTCCAATCATATCTATCCAACCTACTCATCCTACTAATCCTAAAATTCAAGACACGTGAAAATCTAATACACAAGCAAAAGAATACACCATATACACAAACAAAATGATATTTTTTTCACAGATCGATATCTCGGCCGGCAGCTAACCCGACTAAACGAATATTTAAGTATTCATTATTCCTTCTTGCCAGAGGTTTACGGGAGTGAAAGCTAAGGCTCGTTGGGGATCGAAAATCTCGAATAAGACGAGCCATGCATTATAGATACCTATTCAGAGCACCGGTGGGTAGTTCGTAACCACGTTGGCACCGGAAGAGCCTAGTTTGGTGGGCCCTCAGACAGGCAGTCGAAAAAGGAGAGAAAGAGAGAGAGAGATCATCTTCCACAAATAGAAGTGATACGGAAAATCGGTAAAATGGGAGAGAAAAAGAGAAATTAGACTTTCATGAGTAAAAGTGACGAATCGAGAAAAGAAGAAACGAAGAGTAGAATGAAATAGTAGAAAGAGAGGAGAATATACAGAGAATCAGTCAGAGGAAAGGTGAGATTAGATCTCACTTTCTACAAATGAAAGTGGATACTGAGAATCGAGAAAATTGAAAGAATGGGAAATGAAGAGTCGGAAAAGAGGCTAAAAGGAGGTATAAATAATTGAATGATCCAAAAATGAAAAAGGTAAGGAAGAGAACGGGAACAGGATCGAAAAAAGATAGAAAAGGGAAACAGAGAGGAAAAATACCTACGGTGGTATGGATGGTGAGAAAAGATGGTGTGGCATGGCAAAAAGAGAGCGGAAACGTTGGGTAGGGGTAAGGTAGAGGGTTCAAATGATTTAGCCCCGCCGTGGGGTTAGATCCGCAATTTCTGTTTGAAACATTCATGAGAAATATTCCTCGTCTAGTACCGCAGCTGCAGCGTTTAAAGAATTGCGCCACGCGGTCGCGACCGTTTACTTATCTGGATGGCTTCCTCCTCGGGGCTTCCACCCAGTCTTGAAGAAACCAGGGAAGAATGTTTCGCCCGCATAACCGGATCTTTCTCCGCGGCCAGGCCTTACGAACTGAAAAAAGAAAAGAAAAAACGCTCTCGGCACTCTATGGATGCTGGCGATCTCGCAGAGGGAAACAAAAATAAAACAAGCCTTGCCGGATTTCACGGTCTTCTCACGGCCCAGAGAAATTCCACGCGCGTTTCTCCTTTTTTTTAACAATCCCTCCCTCCGTGTATTCCCTCCTTTCTGTTCCGTCTTTATTCGCGTTCGTTCTTAGTTCCTCGACGAGCTTTAACGAGATTATAGGTCAATTTCTTAATCGAATGACACGATTTTTAATCGTTTAATCGTGTTATTTGACTTCTTTTTTTTTTTTGTCATGCACAAGTAGATTATCATTGGAATTGATACACTTTGTGCATAAACTTATACAACATAAGGCGATATATCTTCATTGTTCTGCTTGGATTAATAAAAATTTTAATGAAAGATGATTTTTGTTTTAAAAATTTTCGTTTTTTTCTTCATTATCTTCTACAGATCTTTTCTAGATATATGAATAAAATTAACGTTCTCGACAAAGTATTTCAAGGAAATTAGGGTAAAATATATCTTTTTTGACAGATTAAAAATCACATTGATATTCTTTTTTTCATTTCCAAAATAAGATACTATCTTATTATCCTGCGTTAGCCATCGCTGACAATTCACGAACCATATCGTTTATCGGATTTGAATAATCGGCGAACTGTTCGTTGCCAGCCCTCTGTTAGCATGCAGACGGTCAAACTGATTATTCCATTCCGTATGCCGGTCGAATAATGCTAATACCTCCGGTATACCTGTATGTAATTGTTACCAAATATTTGCCCCGGAATATTGGAACTTCCTGCCGGTTTAATGGGGGAACGATCGTTACAGTTTCCTTGACGAAACTTTAAGGTTGCGCAGCAGGACGGAAATTGCGTCTCGCTCGTTCTTCTCGATCGAAAATGGGCTTATTAGCGTGAAGTGTTCCCCAAGTATTTTCGTCCTTAGGATTGGTAATTGGTTTCATAAATATAGAGGAAACTTTTCCGCCCTCCTCGTTTCTTCTTCAGCCTATTTTGAGCGTATTCGTAGGATAGTAGTTGGTAACATAAATATCGAATGTAGAGGAGTTTGTCTTGATTCTCTTTTTTTTTTT